AGTCCTTCTGAGGACACCAAGATGTCTCCAAGAAGCGAGAGCGAATCATTCCATCCCGCAACAGTAGACACCATCGGTTATTCCCCTGAGCACAGCGAACTGGAAAATTTGTATAGCAGATTGCATATAGGTGATGAGAGGTCTCATACCGTTAGGGAACCGGAACGAAACGAGGTCATTCTCAATGAGAGCTTTTGTGTAGGCAAGTACGATGCTCTACCGGAAACCGAAGCTCCCCTCGCCCACTACAAAAGAACTCTAGGTATGTATAAGCAGGACATGCATTTGAGCAGATTTTTAATACCCACATCAGAGTTCACCGAAAGGAGAAATTCCACGGACTCCACAAACTCAGAAGCGACAACTATAAAGTGCAATTCCGATTCGGGGATGATCCAAGTGGACAAGGCAGATACAACTCAGCCATCATCTATTTTACTTTCAGGGGGAGTAACGCGAACTATTTCATCCTTGGGTACAGCTTTGGCTATAAGAGAAGCTCCACGGGTCTCTAAGCCGAAGACATACTCTTCAAAGCGTGAAAAATGGAGGAAGTTGATGAATAAAGTGAGAAACCAAATAGGTTAGAGCTATAGGATTAGATTATATATAATCTTTCATTCATACTTTAACCCGGGAACCGTCCGTACGGCTGGTATTTAAAGGTCTCGAAGCCGAGAAAGAAGAACGATTGGAACTATATAACCGATGCTTAACTTAGACCATAGTCCGTTTATATTAATGCCTTATTTTATTAATGACTCAGGGTTACTGTGCGCCGGCGGGAGAACGATGGCATATAATACAGAATAACACAATATAAATAGTGCTGGACAAGTGCTACACAGTAGATGTGCACATAACGCATCTGGGCAATGTACTTAATCCAGAAGCTATTCGCAACGTAGGTGTCTATTCAACCCCCTGCATAGGTTATATACGCGCAAAAGTTTGTGTTGTGCAGCAGCCAACCATGCCCGTCACTGCCACTTGGCTCACCTTTTTCTTTTGCATCCGGTCGCCTTCGCTGAATGTGAATTAGATATCTGCATGTGATCTGATGAGTCTAAAAGCCTTTCTTTTCCTACAGGCACCAGTGGCGAGAATTTGTCTCCGAGGTAAGGGTACCATATAACTGCTCTGCGATATTCAGATTTGTATCTGGACATGCACATGATCTTCTATCTGTCTGCAGGCTCTGAGACCAAGACCTTTTGTACGAATCCTGGTTCGCCTGCGGTGGGGTATGTGGACGTTCTTCTTGTAGACATATGTCATTATCAATGTCCTCACAGCCGTTATAGCTGCGCCAAGCCCTCTGTGCTGTAGCATCTTGGGTGGTTGAAGGGTCCACAGTAGTGGGAGGTCAAGCAAATGGGATATGACCTGATGTGGCACGAAGCGCATTAGACCCTCTATGTACAGTGGCCTGCGCGAAATCAGCCTGCCCCCTAGAACCACAATGTATGGTTTTAAGATGTTGCCAAGTCACACTAGTATGTATATGGTTAGACTATAGTTAACCCTAGTGTATTGTGTAACTGTATTTTGCGTATTATTTACGATATATATTTACGTTACTGTAAATAATATACGCCTGTGACTAGAAGTCTAGAATCTTCTATACGAATCAGACAAACAGCTGATGCAGGCCTAACAGATCGGGCGATTCGGGCAACTTGTCAACATCACTCTGTTCTTCTTGCCTCTCCTCACTCAAGAATCCGGTATGTCGGGAAATACTCCTGCCAGTAGGGGACTAATAGTACTTTACAGTACTGGCTGTGGTGTCATAAAGCCTTATGCCCCTATTGCTTATTTTACTAGGCCTGTCAGCTACAGTCTCCCCAGATAACATGATGCCTCTATCGGGTATCGGTGCGTAAGGCTGACATTAACATGGCACTAACCTTAGGTTGATCAGCGCAGTTTATCCACCTGAGGCAATAACATATAGCCCCTCCTACATAGATGACGCCTCTCAGTTCCCCGCGACCCACGGACCTTCGATTATGTCCCCACCCCCGGTATCCCTCTGTGTTCAACAAGTTGCACCATGCTGACTCCAAAACTTTTATGTTATGGCCTCAATATCAAGGAAAGGCCAAACTAGTTCAATCGACAAACTGTATTAGTGAAAAATTCTTAGAAATTTCAGGTTGCCTCCGACTATACTGATCAAGGTAATATGATGTAATTTGATCATAATGGGTAGACTCATCCAGCATGGCTTTTCTTGAGCTGACACAATGAAAACAGCTGCTATTGTTTCGTGTTCATTAGTTATCTGTTGAACACTCCCCACCCCTGGTCAACAAATGAGTCAAGTGCATTGTTGGTGAGTTAACCCATTGCCCAACATTCCACAAACGAATACAGTAGAGTGGGTCCGGAAGGCAAATGCCCTTCTCTTTGGCTGACCGGGTTGAACAATGATATTAGTGAACAGCCCAGTGTTTACAGACAAAGATATCATCGAAAATTTAATAGCGAAATGGCATTGACCAGAGATATGACCATCATATTTAAGGCGTACCACCGAGTTCTCAATACAAGAATTTTATTGAAGTGGCATCGTGGCACCCCTAGGTTCAGGGCCGGTACAACATGTAGACTGATGTTTTACAAGTGTTACAGAATACATTTTCGCTTAAGATGTAAGCTCTGTCATTAGTCAAGCTTGGGCGTTCCGCCTTTATGTAATTCCATTATAACGTAACTAACATAACGGAATCGGTAAGGATTCTGTGCACCACCCGCGTTTTTCAACGCCCCTCAATATCAGTCATACCACCAAAAGTGCCTAGATCCTCAAAATCACGCGTCGAATAGGAAGGCCGAATTCTACTTCCTTTGCCATTGTCGGCCTTTCCCGCTGTCCTCCCTTGTTAGACTATGCCGGCAGGATTGCTGGGCTCTGAAACATCGAACTCAACTTTTTAGTAACATCATGGTCAAATATTCTAAAGACTACATAACGCCTTGTTGGTAGAATGGTCTCGACCCTAGCGATGCCCAAAAGGTTGAGCACCCAAGTATTGAACAGTTGTTGGAAGGCAGAAGTTCAGCTATATACATTGAGCCTACATTGCTTCTGCCCTAGGGTTCGAATTCGCTTACAGAATCCTATTTTTCAAATAGCTCCCCGTTCAGTTTTTTAATAGTATACTAGGAGCGGAATCACATTCAAGAGGCACTTTACTTTTTTTTTCTTTACTTTTATCCTATGGTGTAAAGGGGATGTTCAACAAGTTAAGAATAATGACTTAGCTCATACTTTGTCTCTCTCTCTCTCTCTCTCTGTGCGTGTGTGTGTGAGTAATTCATACGCTGACCCCTCGCAACTAAGCGATACGCAGGTGACGACTATTCAAGATACATGATTATAAAAGATATTCTAAGCCGCCTGAAGGTGAACTTTGAGCCTCGCCTGATAGGCCTGTGGGTTGACCCCACTTTAACTCCTATGGTGTCTCTCCATAGAGGTTGTTGAAGTGGTAAATATAATGCCAGCAATAGGAATCAAACCCACTACCTCCGAAAATGTAAGTGGATCAAACCCATATTTTTCCGAAGTTGTCTCTGGGTGCTTACCACTACATTACCGTTAGAAAATTGATATCACTATTTATACTTTTGTGATTGATTTCGTATCCCTAAATCTAACAAGCACTAAGCCACTTCGGGAAACAAGGCTCCAGTCCGCTTCATAAAGCTTATATAAAGTGATATACATAAATAAACGTACTCTGATTGGCTTATATATGCCAAGGTTTGCATAATTCTAAGCTAAGCCTAGTATAGACCGTTTTTCAGGTTTGAACCTGTTGAGATACATTTATCCATATATGTAAGATGACAATATCTCCAAAATAATTATCTCATCTTCCCCGAGCCTTACATTTGGCCGAGACATCAATTAAACGAGTATCTCTTAATCTTGATCATTTAACTCTTCGTGCCAATAATCGCTAAAAAAAAGATATCATCATGGATGACATTGAGAGTGATTGATTGGTAACTCTTGTAATACCGAAACCGGAGATAGTAGACGGCATGGAAGAGGATAAAAGGTCCCAGGGCCTAATTTCAGATTGAGCTGGTTCAAGACAGGCCATCCGATATTAAGAGGAAGACAGTTCATATATTTTTACAGTTCGAGAGTCTTTAAATGTGGGAAATTCAGCTCTATGAGACGGGAGCACCGGCTCTCTCTTCAAGTTTGAAGACGTATTTCTTCAAGACTCTCATTCATACATTTCCAATTATCCCAGAATAGCCAACCGTTCATGTCTATGGCCGTGAACTTTTGTACTAAATTTGTAACACCACAAAATGTTAGGTTTTCATAAATTTCTTGATCGAGAACTCCTACAATTTCGAGGGCTAAAACAATGGGCAGACGAGACAAATCCACATAGACCCAAAATTCGTCAAGATGGTAACAGGTGCGCTCTTCGCCAAAGGACGACCCGAGGCCCAATAGAGCAGGAAAGCTTGGAAGATTCAAAGTTCCTTGCTCGCATCCGAGGCCTTTAGTCTCCAAATAAAGTAGATTTTCGAAATTCCCATGGTGTCTCTAGGCAACCAATTGACTGCTCCACACTTTCAATTTGTGGAGATCTGGCAGGTCTGTAACCCTTTGGAGAATTTGATGAAGGCTCTTTTTATCGGGATGACTTCTGATACTAGTCGCTGTTAGCCGGCTGATTGCCATGAATCCTGACCCAAAGGACGTTGAAGCTCATAAACCTGACTAGTCCAATCTTTATTTATTTTAGTAGGAGAAGAAAGACAGGTACACTGACATACCGCCGACAATATCGAATTGCAACGAATAAAATTAGGCTAGATAGCAATTTGAATTCGATGGGAATGAATTAACGTCACAGATAAAGGAGGGTTGAACCCCAAGAATATCAGCAGTAGTTCCCGGACAGCGTGTGGCCCTCGGTTCAGGTTGTAGTTGATACATAGCCCTTCGTAATGCCTTTTCAAGCTCAAACAAGCTTCCCATCTCTCTTCTCCTTCGAAATACAGTGTGCCTCTATTACTCCAACGCCCATTCGCTGATAATACCCTATTTCCCCGGTTTCGTCCACAACCAGTACGTAATATTGCTTGTATGGGTCTTCTCGCGCGTCGTTGAAATCCATCCCTATCACAACACAATATCTGAGTGGGGTCTTATTTGTGTCGAAAAATAATGAACCCACTTCTGCTTGGCCTGCAATGATAGTATAATGTCCTGTCACTTGTCGCTTCTCACAATTCTCAAATGTTCGGACCTCGACATTCAAATAATCCTTGCTAAATCTCAGATATTTAGGAACCCTGAGTGGTGAAGTTGTTATGAACTCTACTCTCCCGTGCCACGCCATCCATGACCAGGACTGTGGTTTGTTATTTTCGTATGCAATCGGCTCCCCATTAGAACCAGGTATCTTCCATAAAAGAAGTCTATGCATGATGATTTCAAAGACCCCATACTTCTGCTTAGTGGCCAATGCTTTGCTTATACGCTCAGCTAATCCAGAGAACGCAACAGCCCTGTCTGTCGGAATAGTAAGACCTCGCTTTGTATAGTCTTCAATGAGTTCTTGGATGAATTGTATTGTTCTTGTAACACCTGAAGTGTATAATCTCTTAGGAAAATTGGGGTCCATGAAATATGATCTTGAAATGGGGCTTATGCATTAGAGACGTAAGTAGAATTCTCTTACGGAAAGGAATAAATAGAGGGCATTACCAGTTCAGCTTAGTAAGGTTGTTGCAGCGAACACCTTCTCCGCACTCCCAGTAGACACCCCGCGATGTGAAGAATAATGTCCGACGTGAAAGTATCCGTTCCTGCAGTACCCACGCTCGTGTATTCAAGTTGCTTTCATCCACGTCTTGAAAAAAGTCATGTTCGGGATGGGAACCTGGAGACACTGCATGAGTTGGAATGTTGTTAGGGAGTCGACCAAGAAAACTGGTTTCCCAATTTGACGCTGAACTCGCTGCAATGGTACAGTAGGCAAGAGCAAAGATATCTTCCATCTTTTTGCCCTCAGTGTTCCAATCATTCGTGTTTCCCTGTTTGATACAGAGCGCATCGATCCAGAGGTAGTTTTTTTCCAAGTTTGCGTGTCACTGTGATTGCATCTTGAAACACGGATGGTAGTTCGTTATACCGAAAAGCATCCTTGCGCTGATTGTAGTTGGAATTTGTAGTCAGGTACTTTTGCCTCTCGGGTGTCTCTTGACCCCAGCAATGAGATAATGCTATGTATTCAACAGGGGCATCAAGTTCACGCAATTGCAATTTCTCTTTATCATGATCTCCAATGAAGATAACCCTGGTTGGCCAAGTATCAATAGGCTTGTGACAGGGTCTATGCGTCTTGTCGCACGTAAGAAGCCATAGGCGAGATATTTCCAGTGGATCGAGAGTAGGTGGAGGTAGGTCGGTTGAATGAATGTCTGGTATTAGATCCGTGTCTCTCTCACAAGCCCACTCGTCCTGCGTCAGAGAAGAAATAAGGTCAGGGACATCTTTGAGGGGAATATAATTTAGATCGCCGAAGGAGGCAATGTTTATAAGTGATTCATATGATTAGGAATATGGACTTACCAACTACACACTCACCATATGCTTTCAGTCATCATTGCACCGCATCACATTGTTTCAGGACATATTCACTTACTTTCTATACCGTTTTCATATCCTTTTAGTAATCACTGGACAGCATCACAATGCTTTAGAGCACATTCACTTACAAACTATACCATCATCATATGTTTTCAGCCATCACTGCATCGCATCATATTGACTCGCGAGAGGTTGACTTACCTCCTATACCGTCATCATATGCTTT